ATTTGGTGTCATCGTTGCTTCTTTGTCAACCACAATTTTCCTTACGACAAGGCGCTGCGACGTCAAACAGTCTACCATTATGTACTAGCAGCAATCGACTGATCCACACTAGTCAACTTCACTTCTCTTTTCATCAAGAGGTATATCCGTTAATTTCACTTAATGGACCACTTATCACTCTCACTTGAAGTGCTCTTTGTTGAAGTAAAAATTCCTCTTCCTTGTCGTTTTCCTGTAATCATTGCCTTCCTGAAAGATTTCAGCATCTGATGGGAAATGAATAAAAAGTGTCGTCTTCCTGCTGTTCAGCAGCATATTTTATAGTCATTTGGTTTAAGCCGTGTAATTCATATTGGTGAATACTTGACAGCAGTATATGTCGCCTTGCTCTTCGGTATTCCGCCTGATTTCATAAACCATTTCTTTAACAGTCGTATTACTTCAGTTGGAAAATCTGCTGAAATCTTCTCCGAAATAACCCGCCTTTTTTGAAATATAAAACAAAAAAATAATAAACTGCATGCAATTTATGTTATTCTTACCCCCTCGGAAAGTCGATGTTATCACCTAACGCAGAAGTAGATAGTTTATTAGTCACATTTAGGTTATTTAGATTCTTATATTTTTCTCCTATCAATATAAGCTAGCAATATATTCGCACATACTGTAACAACGCAGGTACATTGTCAGTTATCGCTCATTGTACATTGTGCAATGTGCAAGGAACAATGTTTTGACGATGACGAACGTCATTCTGTCGTTGGGGGGAGAGTGAATATATGGGGTAATAGGCTGCCATTAATTTCTTCATTCCAAGTATTTTAGTTTGTCAAATAGTTATACAGAATGGAATTTTTGTTGTAAAATGTACTTGGAAGAAAGCATTTATAGTGTTATATATGCAAAAGTGGACGTGTTCCATAATCCATTGTCTTCTTTACCCCGTAGTCGGAAGGTACCAGCATGGGAACGCTTTCAGAATGGTATAAATAGGTTTGCATTGTACGACCATAACGACCCAAATATTGAAGAACTTCTTGATAACTTGTCAAACCTAGAGATAGCTGAAGTCGGTAAGTGTCTTGTATATTATATTACATTATATTACGTAGGTGATTTTATTTGTATATATACGACCGGACGTCGTTTTCCTCCTATGCGTTCTGATTTTCATTTGGGTCTTGGTGCAACACTTGAAGTGTATGGGGCATGAGAAACGTTCATGTCATTCCTTTTCTTGAAATGGTTTGTTAAAAATGTGCCCATCATTATTGATTCATTTTCGCTCTTTTAAAAAATACGTTGCCACACATTTCTATGCAGATTATTGTTCCCAACGTAATTGTTGCCTGCACTGAATCCATTCATTGATGGTAACTATATATTATCCAGATGGTGGTGGATAATATTAGGCGAATAGCAAGTTGCATTCCTCGACCTTTGGTTTATGAATTGCAATTGCCCGTAACTGATTCAATCAATTACCAAGCATCACATTTCTAGGATTGTGCATTTACAGTATTTTTTTCCTGGTCTCCGATATCTTCAATTTGATTTTGCCATCTTTCAGAAAACAGATTAATGCAGATGAAATGAATATCGTGTGTAGAAGGATAGTTTGTATCTAATTACCTCGCGTGACAAACGGTGTTACGAGCAAATACAAATCGGAAATTAGCTAAAACGTGGCACGCGAGCCAGTCGTTTTCTTTTTTGATTACTTCCTTCCAGACAGAAGGCGAAATAAAAGTTTTGAACAGGTGTTTTGGGGATGATGCACACCAGACCTTTTGTAGGGATTCTAATGTACGCGTGGCGTGAATTCAGATAAATAAACAGCCTACATGGTATTCAACCTTTAAAAATGACGTGAGTGTGAGGACAGGATTAAATTAAAATCACCATCATACAATGTAAAAGAGGGTACCCCACATGCATATATTCACTATTGATTCAGCAGCTGGATCTTGAGAGGATGATGTAGCAGAGGGTGATATCTACTGACTCACCAATACCATTTGGAGTATAGTGTCTACATCCCCACATTGCAGTGAACCGATCAATTCTTCGATCTTATTTGCTTCTCATTGTAACTCTAATATCGCATACGCAAGTATTGGCACTGCATGCATCGCTTATATTTTCCCAATTCTAGAAGCTTGTAATCGATTATCACTACTAATATATTCCTATGATTGGAATGATTCACGTCACCAACCAACCAACCAACACCCTCGCCCTCATCAGGGTTGGATTTGTCTGATGTGACGGCATTGTGGGATTTCTAGTACAATTAATAGAAACTGATATCTGAAAAATCTAAACAAATTATAGAATAAGACAAGAAACTGAAGTCGTTACTAATATGTAGCTCATGACACAATTCTAACTATGGCAAGTTACGCTAACGTGTTGTAGTCACACACTTATGAAACTGTGTATGTTTTAACAATTGATCATTTTTAAATGGACCACACTGAACCAAGATGACGATGCATGTGTTCGGTCATAATATGCATAGTATTAACGCAAATTATTTTCCGATGCATTTTAAACAACTGATATTCAAGACGCCACCCAGTCAGCCATCAATCTTACGTCTTAAAAAAATCACAGATCAAAATGTCGCCATCCCATCAGGCCAACTCGTCATTTTATAGGCTGGAGGGAATATATTAAATATTCACATTCAGATTATAACATAATATGCCTAATTACCCCGTTAGTCTGAATCCATTGACATTTCACATATATGTCACATGTGTCTTAATGTTGTACATTAGAAGTTCAAATTGTATTGTGTGCGTCTTAGTGACTAGGTAGGGATTGGTCATCAAAAAATCTGATTCTCCAATTCGGTGTGATTTTTAATCAAATTCAGTCTGTAGTTGCTTTCAACTATAGTTGAGTATTTAGAACTAACTTTATTTGCATCGTAGTGTATTACGTTTTGCTTCGTCTGGTTTCCATGGATACGTATTGGAGTCCTCCTACGCGAAAAATCACGTGGCGTTTTTGCGACATTATAATTTGTATTTAATCATTTGTATTACGATGACGTCACGGTTAAAATTCAGTAAATATCATATTCCCGCTGTATCAAACGGAATCTAAACCGTTTTTTATTACCCTAATTATTGTACAGTAACATAGCCATTCATTACACCATTCAACCCTTTTCAGTTAATTCAGTTCCCGTAAATTGAACCTGTTTACATGTGAAATCGCTTGTCTATGGTAAAACCATGTATCCAATGAAATGATTAGTTGAAGATGTTCAAGTTGAATACCGTCGTAACCATGGCAATGAATTGGGGTATTATTTGATGAGCCGACTAAAATTCAACCCATAATGAACCCATATTGAGAAAAAATGGTTTTCATTTCTAATTGATGTCAAGGCTCGTTAACCTGCCTTTTAACCTAAACATGATAAATAATTGCAACTACCGTGACCATTGTCTTGTCTTTGTTTTGTTCTGGCTTAAAAAAAGATTTGATTCCTTCGATCAAACTCTTTTACTTACTTTGTTTAGAATTGTTATTTTTTCCCCGGATTCCTTGTGACAGAAAATATTTGATGCGCGTGGAGAATAATTACGATCTAGTTATGTTGGTGCACACAATCCGCCTCTTCGTAAACTAAATACATTAATTCGGAGTCTCTTTTTAAAAATCATTGTAACTATGCACTTATACAATGAGGCACATATATACTTTGTTACACATGTTGAGAGATTTCGCCAATCTACACATTAAAATATACAATAGATCTCGCCAATCTATACATTAAAATGTAAAACTTGGGGAAAACAGTTCTACGTTTGTGTATGTCATCATTTGTACCGCGTCTGTTTTGAATTGGCCAATAGGCGTTGAGAATGTCAGCTGCAACCTGTTTATGCCATGGGGAAACAAGGTCAAAGTATCTACCGCTCCGAATCTATAACAAATTGGCTCTTGTAAATGGTATTAACAACGACAAATTTATAGACAGAAATCTTCGCAATTCGCGACAACCGTTTGTTTTGCGATGTTAGTTTCTATGTCACATCGATCACATGACCATAATTTAAGTAGTAAGTATTCGAGTTCCCAAGCCTGAGTGATCAACGATTAAATTATTTACTGTAGTCAGGTACTCAGATGTGAATTCCGCCACTTAGGCACATATAAGTGTGGTGCTACTTACACACTTAAATTTTAATTAGGTTGTCAAAATAAATATTAGATAATTTAGCCCCCACCACTAAACAGAATCACGTAGATAGTACTCCTACCAAAAATATATTTCAAAGTTAAGAAAACAAAGTCCATAGCATGGATGGAAACAAAGGTTTTTTTTCACTTTAGGTATATCAAAACATAAACTGACAGTTGGCAAGTGCTCCTTGGTACTAACCAGTTCCACAGCTGGCGTAATTGAAGTTAGCCCTCACACCAATCTACCACGCAGAGTTATAGTTCTAAGAATACTTTCGGTGCTCTAAACACAAGGCACGAATGCACAAATCCGAGAAAGCAAAGGAAGAATAAATTGATTCCAAATGCTATAGTTTGAAAGCCTATTTAATGGTATAAGAGATACGATCGTACTTGGCGTAGTCGCGTTATTGTCTCCTGAAAATTAAGTCAAGGCGGAATTCAGTCTAACTGCCATTACGTCTTGTTTGTCTAACTGTTGATTTGAACGATAATGAAATTGATGACAACCGAAATATTTCACTCCATCCTAGACTGCCTATTCATATATATACATCTTTAATTCGATGGTTTTATTAGTCAGTTCTTTTCTCCGTCTTTGATTTATGATATTTAAACGCATCTTAAAATATATATTATTTATTTTCTTATCCTTAATTTTGCAACAAAGTCCCAAAGAAGGGAGGCTCACCAAGAGGCCAAGAGTATTCCTAATGCTTATGTGGGATACGCGAAATCACAACAATTGCACATTTGTTGACCACATGTTTCTAGGGACATCGGACATTTTATAAAATCATTCTTGTCAATATTCAGATATGCATCCTATAAATTAGTACTTGAATCGACATGTGTATAATTGTATGGACTAATAGATTCCAATGTGTATACGGCGAAATGTTGTAGCGTATTGGGTAACTGCAACCTGTGTTCACGACATTCTAGTTGGGATGATAGAAACCTGAAACTGGAATTTCTTGCCCTCAATTTCACGCGTGACTACCACTTTCACACATAGCTTCTTAAATCCCCTTGGCGCGCAGATAGTACACGGCGGAACAAATTTACACCTGACTATGTATGTGTCATTTAATCCAGTGACGTATAATTTGAAACATCCACTCTCAAATGCCTGATTTCGTTAAAATGTTAGATTATGAACATATTTTTTTTGTTTCACAATTCGATCCAATATGACGAATGACGACACTTTGATTCGTCATTGTGACATTTTGGGTAAAGTTAGTGCTCATTGTCTAAAAACGTTTCATTAAGTTTAACATAATGGTGACCATACACAACAGAAACGACACAATATTGTTAAAGTAAAACACCATATTCCCTTTACAAATCTGGCCACATCTTTGAATTCTCTCCATTATTGTATTCCCCTACCCCCTGTGAATGACAGTCTCAGTCATACTATGGAGTTTGAATATGAATATGTCATCAACCATATATTCAAAGAGCATTTAGGTAATCCATCCAGTCTCTGTAATTTCTTCAATTTTTGTTACTCACAGGCGCTGAAGCAAGGTGGAATATACTTTTCTTGTTCAAACGTATTCTATTGGGAGACAAAATAATGCATAGCACTGAATAATTGGAGATATACATTACTGATAACACATTGTTTAAATATGTTTGGCGACAGACCGAGTACTTGGTGTTGTATAGTCACTTCAACCTCATAACAGCTTACTTTCTTAATTAAAAAAATCAAAATATCGGATAAGGTACGTCATATATTACAGATGAGAATGTAGATAAGTGACTAATGACCATTTTCTATTTTTTTTCAGATGAGAAGTCTGGTGGCACCCAGGTGAAGCTGATTATTGATTTCATAGATGGTGGCCAAGCTCTCTTCAAACCCTGGAAGTGAGTAAGCGCGTCACAAAATTTGCACACCTTACACGCAAATGGCTATTGAGAGCAATTAGACTTGTTTGTTGGCCCCACAAATGGTGTTCTCTCCTATCATGGCGTCCACTGGTCGTTTGTGCCATGATATTTCGAACAACTTCAATGAGACTAATGGCGAGAGAGTGGGACGCTACTTGAGCAGAATAAATACATCTCGTCAGTCTCGTGACCCCTCGCCCCCAACGAGATCTCGGCGGTCATTTGAGTCAAGAACTGTTTGAGACCATAAATTGTTTACGCATAAGTCGCCTGGCTGTAAATCTTGTTCTTATTGGTCAATCGAAACAGGGAATTTGACGATCACCTATATTCTGATTGGTGGAGTCACTTGTTGCTATAGCAGCCAAAGCTTTGTTGTTTATTCCCTGAAATATCATGTATCATTTAAATAGGGTTGCGTGGGGTTGTTATAAAGCAAAGCTGACGATTACATTTTCAGAAGAATAGAAAAAAACGCGTGTTAATGTCGCGAGAATATAGGTAAATTTCTAGTGATGAGAGTTAAAACACAACACAATGAAAATGTAAAAAGTGTGATTGGCACGAAATGAATATTATCTACTTAGGTAATGAATATTCCTCGAGGAGATATGTGGATTTTAAACAATATCCAGTGTCTTGATTAATATTTAACACGTTTTCGTTATCTGTTTTACGTGCTGTCTTCTAAAATTATTATTATATTTGGCGTTGTCCTTAGGACATAACGTGAATACTGCCAGTTAACACGCGTCACATGGGTAGATTTATTTCAGATGACAGGCATAGACATGTTTAAATAAACCCTGGGCACAACACACTGAATGATTATATCCTTTATGATCGAATTTAGCGGCGCCTCCATGATTTTTGTGCAAACCTTTGTAACCAACCAATTTGATGTTGCATCAATTCTTCTGGAAATTCTATTCTGTAATAGAAAATGCAGTTGCAGTAACTGTGAATCACTTAATTGTCCCTAATTGTACCAGTCGTTTCAATTCAATTCGATTACGTATGACGTTATTTCTACTTTACATTCAGCTACTTCAAACCATCATATTGTAATAGTACAGTCGTGGATACTAACCGATATAAAATTATATTTAGTAGTCTTGAGCCTTACATACCTAAATTATATGCAACTTTGCTAATGCCTAAAACATGAGTATATTGTTTTTGTAGAAAATATCAACGATATATAGAATTCTTTTTAATCTAAATGAACATCGATAGCTCAAAGAACTATATATATATGTGAAGGTTGGGAAATGCATTTTAATTGTTTGTACTGGTTCAAATTTATAATTTACCCATACCAGACTTATTAAATTCAGCGTAGTGTCCCATGTGAATCCCTTGTGACATCAACAACGCGTGAAAAATACATGACATTCGCGACGACTGCGGCGTCCTAAATTGCTAACTAATTAACATTGCATTTTATTCCAATTATTGATAGCCCTGTAATATTAATTAGGACATTCGGCATGTATTGTAATTAATTAATTAGGTTGACTTTATGCTCATGCAATATTCCTACAAGTATTAGAATAACGGACAGTGTGAAAACTGCCGAAAACATAAATCGGAGTCTGATTGTGATAGGAGAAAAAGTGATTTGATATTGATAGTGACATGTACGTAGAAATTGACATATCCAAAAACAGTTCAATTCAAAAACTTGGACGAAATTCCTTGTCGTGTTCCTTTGTGTTGAACATAAACATAGCGTTCTCACATTTACATATTATCAGTGCCACCAGGTTTGCGACATGCACAACGCACTATACTCGATCGGTGCACTCGATTTATTGCATTCCTATAAGAGGTCAACGTTCCGCATTTCTCAATTTAACGTTGTGTATGGGTTAATTAATAACATCATTAATAAAAGTTGTTAACGATATTGTCTTATTACCAGTATTGTCCATTATTCACACCGTCGTGCTTGATATATTATACGCCTATCACGTGACTAAACCGGCTTGCGTGTTGTTGTTCAGAGTAATATCCACATGCTATAATTGACACGCTACTTTGCCCAGAATTCCCAAGCCACGACATTTTCCAATCACCGTACTAGTATGTTGTGCGTTGCCCGTGTTATGTAGTTAACATTATCAAACCAGTTCTCTTGACGATATAAACAAATACGTCTTAAAGTACTGTGACATGTCTCATCTTTACAAAGAATATTACCCTTTGTTCGATCCTGTTATTTTGGTGAACGGATTCGCTTTTTAAAATCTTTTGTACCCAGGCAAATGCACTTAATTATGGTATTGGCATCCACATTGGCAAATCCAGCGACAGTGCTGTGACTTCAAAGTGTATTATGTTAATATTCATATAAACCGACACATCAAGGGAAAACGTTGATCACATAACCAGGTACATAAGTACCTGTGCAATCAGCATGAAATTGAGAATTACAACGAGTAATAATGCTGAAAGTCGTTCAAATCATGTTTTATACAATTTCCGGTGAAAATCCGGTGATTATTTCGGAAGCTTATAAAACGTGTTTTCTGAAGTGTGGTATGAATAGACTTGATAGACCCGAAGTCCGTTACTGTTACTGTGTTACTGAGTATTGAATTCAACTTTCCACGGAGTTCTGTTCGCGTCATTCAAACAGCATTCTAACAAAAAGCGTAGTAGGTCATCTTAAAACTCCAATAAACCATTGAGCTAATGGACAAACAAAATGCTGTTGTTGCCAGCCGCTATTGGTATTCAGTCAGAAAATATAATCGATATGTGTTTCCAATCTGCATACTGCAAGAAAATTTCGGTCGGTATTTTTAGTCATTCGGGAAGTTAAAACACTGTACAATATTTATAAAGAACAGGAAACATCATTAGAACCTCTTCACATTGTCGGGTTAGCAACATTATTCTAACGTTTGATTGCAGAAAGGTGATTGCACAATCCTGTAGCATGCTTCATTGAGAAGGCGCGATTCAGCGAAGTGGACTGAATTCAAGCTGACGCCATTTTGAAATGTGTCACATAGAATAATTCTACAAGACAAACGTTTAGCCATCAGCTGAACTCTTCTCAATTGAATGCGTGTTTATTACCATGTAGATTGGCTCTTCAGTGTTATCTGATTCATACAGACCTGATTTAATCTTTGTCGAATACATGTTACGAACAAATCTAGTGAACCATCAAGACCATATCTGTCCCGCGACGTATCGTGTTACCTCACTCACGTGGGTATTACCAAATGGCGTTAGAATTGATAGGGACTTGTTGGCAATACATCACATTGGAACTAATTATCTTATGCATCTTGTATGCATAGTGCATGTATTTGTAATGCACAACTCATATATTTGGATAGTATACATAGAACACGTTTTAACCCTCTTTCCGCTATTGTAATGCATACAGTAGTAACTGTTGTAGTTTTAACATTGAAAGTCAAGTATTTATGAAGTGACGTAGGCGTGCGACAGCTGACCAGATATTATTGATCTTGACATTCAGAATGCACTACGCCAGGATTTTCAGTACGCTGATTTATTTATATGGTTTTGTGATCTTTTGAGATTTTAATATCATTTTTCGAGATTATCCCATCTGTTTTGTGAGCGTACTCGCAGCTACATTTAAGGATATTCATTTTTATATCATGTCCATATCCGTCTTCGTTATTTGAATACTCTCATAATGGCAGGCGATTTGAGTTACTATTTTCCCGCGTAGGGTACTCGAACGCAGTAGGACAAAGGTCTTCAAATGTCATTAAAGAACGAATTATCCACTTCGAACCAACTTCGTTCTAACAAATTGTCGAATGTTGGACTTATCTGTTGTCATTCGGAGGGGCGAAGACTGTACGTCTCAGCGCAATGACAAATCAACCTTAGGTACAAAACGTAAGCGCCTGATTCTGAGAAACGCAATTTGATGATGTAGTGTTACCATCCCAATCGAAAAATGTAGGCGTGCTGCATCCTTACGACAAATGATTCTACAGTACAGCTATATTGTGTGCAATATTAAAATGGATGTACCATTTACTGAATTTTATTCATTTCCCTTTTCCATGTTTCCGGCTTTTTCTTGCCTTAAAAGTGAGCTGATCGCATTTACTTTGATTCAGGAAATAAAACTATTCAGTTGATTGGATTTTATGAATAACATTGAATACATATTGTTTGTTAGTCTGCCACGAAAATACTCACCATAAAAATGTATATACAAAAAATACAAATTTGGATAATGCTTTTCAAAGAAACAGGAAAGCATTTATATTCAATAATTTAGACGCATATAAGAAAATAACTGATGTATTATATGATGACGCCCACGAATGCAAGGTACTATCTAAGAGAATATGGGGAAGCATATCATAGCAGATAGTTGTATTAGTATAGAGTGCATGTGGGATATAAATATATTGATTTAGCTATTGAATATTTGTAATTTATATTTCAGAGTGCCACGTGATTATCAGACTGTTCCTGATCACTTTTATTTTTCTGACATCGAAAGACACAATGCTGAGATTGCGTCCTTCCATTTAGATCGGTAAGGCCAATTAATATATTCTGTGGGTCAATGCCAATGTTGCTGTTGTCAAATAGCTTTGTATATTTAACCAATCAATTGTTATTATTGACATTCTTAATATTAATGACAAATCTTACCTCTCTTTACCCAACTGATTAAATTCATTTGCTCTTTGACAGCATATTAGATTTTAGAAGAGCGCCTCCCCAGGTAGGTCGATGGGTGAACCTCACTTCACAGATTTATGATCTCGCTGACTCAACTCTCAGAAGATCATTCTTCCGTTCCCCAGGTAACGTTAAATCGACAATTGTAATTTATACTTTGCGTGTTATTTGCATGTTGCTTTCATGGGTCAATATTGCAAACCTCAATAAATACTGGGAAATTCAATGTTCATTTCGTATTTGTCTCAACATTCAAGCTGACTTTTAAATTGAATGTGCCAGCACGCTAATGTCGCTCTATCACTCATACCATCGTCACTAATTGTTGGATTCGTATTGTAATATGAAATGGCAAAGGATGTGTCTCATTTGCTTTTGTAGGTAATTTGTTTTTCTGGCATCAATGGGTTAAATTATTAAACCGGAACTGAAACAAGACGCTTTTTATGATCAATGAAGGGGTAGCCGATTACACTCGTATTCTTGTTCCCATAGAAACTGCCTGTGTTGTGTAACCCACGCAGACTGAATTTCCGTCTAGGTAATGGGCAGGAATTTTCACCACTGAGAAATAACATGCAACTGTCATTCACATATCGTTTGTTTTATTTTATTTTCAGCCAACAATGTTTGTTTTGTTGGTCACTGTTCATACTATTGCCAAACTGAGACAGCTGTCTGTGGTCATCCCGATATGATAGAAGGCTCATTTGCTGCTTATCTACCCCCATTTAAAATGGCACCAAGAAAAACATGGCGACACCCCTGGAGACGATCTTATAGCAAACACAGGAAAGCCATGTAAGTCGCATAAAATCAGATTTGATTGAACTACTCATTTAGTGCATAATTTCGATTTGTGCAGTGTTATGTACCTAGTACAGTATTTACAATTGACTGGTGAATTGTATGACTATTTATATGTTATACCAAATGTTGGTAGATGGGAAGACGATCCAAATTACTGCCAGGACGTAAGGAACAAACATCCATACAACACTGGAAGGCGTCTACTGGATTTGATGGATTTGGCTGTATTTGATTTTCTAATTGGTGAGTTAGTCTCTGGTGAATATTGTTTAAGTGTTTAAGGATTGATCGAATATAATTATAGTGTGTATTGATTTTGGAACACACAAAACCAGAGAGCTTTTACGATTATCTTTTTGTATATTTCACCCAAGTCACAATACTTTTGCGATATCAATTCGACAAATAGCATAAGTATAACAGAATGAAACACATAAAGTAGTCACAAAAACGTCATATTCGGTTCAAACTACTCAAAATGTTTATTTGGCGAGCCCAACAGTATACATATATGGGTAAAGCTTCATTGTCGAATGTAGTAGCTTTGAATCATGAATCAACAGTTCTCATCTACTCTTTTTCTATTTTTGCAGGTAATATGGATCGACATCATTACGAAACATTCAGCAAATTTGGCAATTATACCTATCCCCTTCACCTTGACCAGGGCAGAGCGTAAGTTTCACTTATTAGTCCCCGTTCGGACGTAGTCCGAAAACGGGGACTTATGGTTTGCCCTGTGTGCGTCCGTCCGTCCGTGCGTCCGTGCGTCCGTGCGTCCGTGCATCCGTGCGTCCGTGCGTCCGTGATCACCTGTATCTCGAACATGCATGGACCGATTAAGTTCAAACTTCACTCATACATCACACATTATATGGGACATATGCACATGCATTTTTTTCATGATCCGATTAACGATAGCCGAATAGCGGCCATTTTAAGGCCGAAAATGCATCAAAATCGCACATTTTCACCATTCCGGACCCGGATCTCAGTTATGCATGGACAGATTTTGTTTAAATTTGGTACATACATTAAACATAATAGGACCTTGATGCACGTCTTTTTTTTTTTTGGATCGGGTTCGAAATAGCCGACTGGCGGCCATTTTGTTTTAAAGAATTCAGTTCTGGATCCGTATCTGAGACATGCTTGGATTGATCGAGTTCAAACTTCACACACACAAGGTACATCATGTCACAAATATGTATGTGCATTTGTTTCATGATCTCATTAACGATAGCCAAATGGCGGCCG